TTAAAAAAAACAAAAACAAAAACCCACAAGAGATACCAGGAAGAGGGCAATGCTTCCCACTACGGTGGAAGGCAAAATGCCCCACAGACCGTACCAGTCTGACCATAGGGTAAAATTTCTTCCTGACCTCAAAACAGAGTAATCAGTCCAACCCTGAGCAGAGGGGTAAGAACCCTTTAGCCAGGAATCTCCAGAATTCATTCCCAGCAGATGCACTGGCACAACCCAGTCAAAAGACTCCAGCCTTGGTTGCAGCTGACACCCATGCTTCTGAGGAATGCTTAAAAAACCCTCTAAGAGGGTTAGAACAGGAAGGAAAAAATGCCCCCCTGGCTCCATGTGGCATCCAGCAAAGCCCAGAAGCATGGGAAATACACATAGAACATACGCACAGCTACACCCAGACCAGCCTTGACCAGTGCCTGTCCTACCTCTTCTTGAACATCTCCAGTGACTCAGAGTCCTCAGTTTCCCTAGGCAGACTATTCCACTGTCTCACTGTTGTAACACTCTAGAATTATTTTAGAATACTCTAGATATTTCTCTATGTCCTGCAAATGATAAAAGCAACATTAATTTGTGTGACAAGATTATAATGTAGACTGGTATCTAAATTTGTAAACATATTCAAGATTATTAGAACTTCCCGGTAACCCCAAATTACAGGATGTCAGTCAATAAGAACTGAAGTCATACGCACAATAGTAAACAAGTGGTGTAATTAGTAAACCTATGGCCCCGGAGGCTGGATCTGGCCCTGAAATGACTGAATTGAGCACATGGCCCAAGGGATCAGTGGTAAGCAGCTCAGCCCTATACATCCCTTTCCCTGCCTTGCACCATACACTGATCCCCTCTGCAGCCATCTCTGCTCTCTCCCCTTCTCCCCTCCCCTACAGCAAAAACTTCTTACTTTCTCCCTTCCCCTTCCATAGGCAGGAGCTATTTCCTCTCTCTCTCCCCTCCTTTGACACTGGCAGACATCCTTCTTCCTTTCTCCCTGCCCTCCTCCTGTATTGGAGGGTGCAAGTATTCAGACTTCTGCTCTGAAGGTTGAATTTGACTCATCCAATTCAACACTGATTAAGAAGGGTGAAGGGTGCTAGACTCAGAACACAGACAGTTCTTCTTTGGGTCTTTGCAGCACCTGGGCCAGTTCTGAAAATCACCATTACAACTGGCACCATTAGATTCAGGAACAGCAAAGGATTAGACAGGCTTAAAGACTGAACCAATCTCTAACAAACAGATATTGACCCAGGCTAGAACTGTTTCATCAAACAGCTAAAACTGTCAACCCAGTGTCAATCATCCTCAAACTATATCCAAATTAGACCCAAAGTTGTCAAATATTTTTGGCTAAAGTGGTAGATGATGTCCCTATTCTCATCCAGTAGCTCAGTGGTTAAAATTAGAGGTACACTGATACATTGGTCCGATATCGGATTGGTACAGCTATAAAGCAAATTGGCTGTATTGGAAATTGGCCCAATGGGGCTGACAAATGCCCATGCTGTGCGCAGCCATAGCACAGCACTCAGGCAGCAAGGAGCAGAGCCAGCAGTGTGGAGAGCTGCCTCCAGCTGGTAAGTCTGGTGTGGTGGAAGGGAAGGGGAGAGACGAAGCTGTGGCTCGTGGGGGTGGAGATGGGGTGGCTCCCGTTCCTGCTTGCAGCCTGGGAGGGTGGGCTTGTGCTCCTGGCAGGGCGATGAGCCATGAGCTGCAGCTCTGTCCCATGCCTGCCTCACCCAGGAAGCACCTGCCCCCTCCCTCACCGCAGAAGGCATTGATCTGTGCCCCACCACCATGCCCCTTCCAACATGTAGCCTTACCAGCTGGAGGCAGCTGTATTGAAATCGGCCAATGTGCCTCCTTAAATATCAGGTATCGGTATCAGCTCCCAAAATCTCTATTGGTGCACCCCTAGTTAGAATATTTATGAAGCATGTGAGACAGCTAGGCTCAGCTGCCTTTTCTGACTGGGGGTTTTGAACCCCCTTTCCCCTCATGTCCTGTTTACCAGGAGGAATCCATAGCCTACAAGGTTACAGAATACATTCTGAGACAATGACACTCTCAAACCTTCCTGCTGATGCCATTTCATTTTTCATAATAATTAAATTTCACAGCAGCAGGGAGTAGAACCCAAGTGTGCCAAGTCCCTAGTCAGTCTCCCATTACAGAGATGGCAAAGGAATCAGTTTCTCACTCTTGCTCTGCCTCTTTGACAGTATAAGTATTTTATACAAAGTGAAAAGAGTTAGAGAGCTTAACGGGCCTACCTTAGAAAGACTGAGACAAGTGACACCCAAGTTCGAGACTGATCTCTGCTTGGATAAGAGCTAGGATATGAGCCCATGTCTCTGCCTTAAGGACACTGTCCTATGCATGAGCTTATTGGTTGTTAGGAGATAGATCTAAACAGACATTAGCAAGGTAAATACTGTGTGGACCCCGATTCTCTCTTTGCCTTGCATGTTGTGCAGCCTGTTATACTTGTGCAGAGGTAGACTAAAATAGTACTAAATCAGAAGGTGAAAGGATACAGAGAAAAAAGTATTATATTTTCAATGTGTGGCAGAGACACCTAGGTTCCCAACACTTAATGCCTCACATAACAAGTATGTCTACCTTTTAAAAACAAAATAGAAACAGATTTTTTTGGCGACTGACAGAAACTAAGGGAAACATTATAAAAGAAGTGCTAATCGAAATACATACTTGCAGAGCTGGATACTTTGCACAACTCTGCTAAGCAGCTTAAATCCACAGAATATCAAGGCAATACCTCTGCTAACCTAAGGAAAACAAGGTTTATTTAATAATCTGCTGCTCAGAGTCTCAAAAAAGGCATAACGTTGCACATGGGCCCCATCTCTGCTGGCTCTAGTTCAAGAAGTCCAAGGCTTAAAAAAAAATTGCATTTATCATAATAGAAAGCCTTTTGTTCCTGGATTGTAGAGGTACACGTCTACCATCTTGAATCAAGGTGATCTGAAATAAGCTGGATCAACAGTACTACCGCTTTTTCCCAGGACATCCTGCTGTATGTTTCTACTGTCACTGTGGTTCATTCCAGACAAGCTGGTCAGGCTGTTTGCTCTTGCTTGCCACCCACTGGCAAAGCAGCAGCAACACAGCTTGGAAGGGTGGTGTGTATAAATGACTGTGCTGCTCCTGTTTTGATGTGCAGGACAAGCAATTAATTGCAGGTTAAAAGGAGACATCTGTTTGTACCCCCCCAAGTCCCAAGGATTCTACTGAGGTCCAGAACTCTATGATTACAGCAGTCAGCTAACATCTATAAAACCTTCTAGAATTAGACTAAAATGGCATAAGCCAGTCCAGACAATTTATGGCAATGCTCAGAGATCCATGCCTCTCTCTACTCTATCCTGCATCATGTAAAGCTATTTTTAAGTATTCTTTTTCTATAAACATGTGTTACTTTGACCTGGCTCCGCCGCATCTCTTAGCTACAGCTGATTCAATCAGCTTTTAGATAAAAGTGCCAAGAAAGTTCCACTAAAGTGCCCAATATATACAGATGTTGGGAAATCCAAGTCCGATTAACGGGATGCCTCTTCTGGGCATTGCTGGGCTTGGTATGGGCTCGCACCAAGTTTAAAATGCCATTTCCACCCCCTGCTCCGCATCTGCAAGCTGTGTTTGAGTATAGTGACAGCTCTCAGACGAGGTAGGAAAAAAACTCCAGAAAAGGCTGTTACATGTACAATATCTACACTATGTACCTGCATATATATGGGTAAAATTATTTTTTCATTCCTCGAAGTCCACTGTACCTCTTAGATCTGTGCGAGCATTTTTGGCAGCAAAATACAAGATGACCATATTACAAAACAGCTGCTGTTTTGTAATATACCCAACAATGCAACTGGTTCAATAAGGTATCATGCCCCCAAAATCTTTATTTTTAAACTGATCATTCAAGATGGTTTCTCTGATAGCTGAGCCAAGATTAGTGGTTGCAGAAAAATTTTCTATACCAAAGATATTTATATCGATACTGCCAAAGTACTTGTAATTTAGATTAATCAGACTTAAATCATGAGAATCACATAGTGCTATTGTTGCCACACATCTTCAAATTCCAACATTTCAGAGGCTTAAGAAATGCTAGAGCTGGATGCCTATTATGTATACCAATAAGGTAGTATAAGGCTTGGTTTCTAGATGTTATAGACCTTGAAATCACAATGTGTGAATCATGTTGGAAGAAAACTTAAGAGACAGCACAAAATACTAAATCACAGTTATGTGATGTCGGGCTCAGAGGTGCATAAAAAGAAATAAAAGGTTTATATCCTTAGAAAACTAACATTTATGACTTCACAGTTACATACAGATTTAATATTAACTCAGATGATTCATAAAATATCAGGCTCCGAGTCTGCAAAAAAAAAAAAAAAAAAAAAATCCTTTAGCTCAGAGGTTTGTGCCTTGGTTGCTGAAAATCCTGGATTTGATCCCAATTGAAAACCAAGGGGCATGCCCACATGAGCACGCATGTGCGGTCCAAGATGCCACAAACCACATGCGGTACACATGCAACCATGCTGCACAATTTGGAGGTTCTGGTGTTTAAAAAACTGCCGCAAAAAAGTTGTGCGGTATACACTCCAGAAGCATGAACTGGCACAGAGACTGGGTCTAGAGCATCTCCCAATCTTTAGCTATCTGTCAGCTCCTCCATTATGCCAGGAGCTGGGAAGAGCATGGAACTGGCCATTCCCCTGAAGCGGGGCATTTTGCCCTGCACCAAACCCCATGTGCAGGGGCATGCACAGTGGCAAAAAGCAGTGGCACAAATCTGTGCCACTGCTATTTTTGCCGTAGCAAACATACGCCCCTTCATGCATGCGTTCATGTGGACACACCCATAGTGTCAGTCAGTTTTGAAACCATAAGTTATTTGGATTGGTTATAAATTAGGTCATGCACATTTAAACATGTAAAGTTTAAGCTCATTTGATACATACCTGAATTTCCAAAGACCACATCCCATGGTGAACTTATAGGCTGTTCTTCTCCTTTTGTTCCACCCTCCTTGTCTATGCCTTGTATTCCAATACCTGCTACAGTGGTCACTACCTTTAATTCTAGGTCAATCTATGAGAAATATAATAGCATATGCAATGATCTTGCAGGTGGCGATTTTGGTTTTTAATTCAGTCAAGTCAGATGTTTAGATACAGGTGTACGTCTATACCTATAGAGAAACTAATCACAAATTTGATTGTCATACTTTTATCAGGTAACTACTAAACTTGTTGAAAAACCTTGAATGGCTCTTCAATCTAAACAAAAACAGAAAACTGAGCTTTCTGTCATGGTTAGGACAAATCATCTGGAGAAATGACAAACTTTATAGATGACTAATGGGGATATTTTAAAAACACACTTCTAACAGCGCGTGCTATACAAATGATGTAGCATACAAACATTTCCCAATACCATGTATCGTAATCTGTACACAGCAAATCATTTTATGCAATTTATTTAATAAGATTTGCAGCTAATTCATGTCATAGTATACTATTTCATTTCTGCCCTGCTGATTTAATCAGGAAATGTCTTCCTCTAATTAATTAATCTTGATTGTGTTAAAAGGAAAAAGAAAAGAAAAAACTTTTATATGCAATACTGCATCATTTCTGTACCAATAATTCCCCTTTTCTTTTAGACTTGTTTCCTCACAGGAAACCATAATCAAACTGGAAGCAGACAAAAAGAGCTGTTGGATTACTTCAAACCTTTAATAATTGCTACTGCAGTGTCCCTTTAGATCAAGGAAAACAGTTAATGACTTGGCAAGAACTTCAGATCCTCTGAAGGTATTTAGGTGGGCACCTAATTTCCACGGATTTCAATAGAAGTTAGGCACACCTACATATCTATGGGGTTGAATCCCAGAGCATGTAGGGATTTTAACATTTTATATTTAATGCTTCCATGAACAGAATCTCGTTACTCTTGCAGGTCAGTCACTAAAGGAAGACTCTATTTATAAGGAACAGCCCTTCATATTACAATCTTGGGGAGAACTGAATCCAAAACATTCACATATCGAAAACCCTCAAAAAAAGATGATTATTGTCACTTTAACTGGCTGCAGAGCACTGCAGGTTACAAAACGAGTGGATCATACTTTCTTACAAAAGTCTGATATACTTTTTCTTCAAGTTACAAACCCATTTCCACGCTCATGGCAAAAATGATAGAGAAGTCACTGGATGTGTAAAGATTAATAATGCATATAGGAAAGCCTTGCTCTCCACGGGTTCCGAATATTTGAAACTGTGAATGCTGAACCCGCATTTTAAATACACTTTATACACTTACAGGAGCTCCTCAGGAGCTCTGTGCTTGCTCCCTCTGCATTCCTGCCGTCACCATGCTCTGCCCTGCCCTGCCCCCAGCCACCGGGGGCGCCGCGTTCGTGAACGTAGTGCCTTATTCGCAGATTTTGCTGTTTGCTGGGGATACAAGAATATATTCCCTGCAAATGGGCGAGGGTTGCCTGTACTATTATTTTAGCTTAGCAAGGCCACAGCAGAGAAAATTTTCATTATTAATACATTTGGTTTCCATTAGAAGAATATTAAATAATGGTCGTTAGGAGTTTAAAAACATAAATGTAGCAAAAAATGGACATAATTCCTTTAAGGACAAATTGAACATTTTTCTGTGTAGTTATTTTTAAATACTGAACCAAATTCCACTTTCCATGAGACAGCATGACATCAGAGTAATTTTTTCTTTCAATTTTCATGGTGTAATTGAGCAAAGAAGAACCCAATGTGTAGAGAAAAGAAGAAACCTCAGGAAAACCCTGCATTCAGGACCATCAGGTACAAACTTCAGGTGTGATAAATGCAAAAGGGGCTGTGTCATTTAACAATTTGGCTCTACAGCCATACTCGCAGATGTTCAACAAGCTGATGCCTCACTCAACAAAAATCTGTGGTCTCATGGGACAGACAGATACGTATGTGTACTGATTAGAAAGAAATTTTGGGTAGTTATCCTTTATAAGTTGGTTTTTTAAAAAAAAAAGTGTACCTTTCTAATCAGATGATTTTCTGCATCAGCTACATAAATAATATTGTTCTTTATAGCCACTCCCTGTGGTGAACTGAATGCTGCTTCTGAAAATCTTCCATCTCTCCTTCCACTGTTTGGACCTAAACACACAAAGAAACAGACAATCAGGGGAATAACGTTTCACACAAGAATCAAGGAAGACAGTGAAAACAATTACTGTGTGGTATAGAAGGTACAGTATTGTACAAAAAGAGAAAGTTAAACAGCACTTTTGAAGAGGCATTAAAATTAATTTTAAAAACAAAGTTGCTACCTTTGCTGCACACTAGTTTAGTAAGAATATTTAAAACATCCACTTTTCTCTTCACTACTGATGCAATTTGTTTACTGTCTGTATTTTAGGCTTGGGTAGCCATAGTGTCACACCAGGAAGGTGTTCTGGTCTAGAAGCACGAGTTCTAGCCTCATTAGATTTGCACTGATAGCTTCTCCCCAGTCTACTGAGCAGCAAATGGCTCACCAGCTTGGGTACCAAGGGTGACCAGAAACTTGGCTAGTCAAATTCCTCACTCATGGGCTGTTGGCTACACACTGACAAGCCTTAGCAGTACTATCCAGATGAGCAGTCTAGATTTCAATAGGCCTTTAATGCTTTAAATTTCCTAGGTTTTGACAAGGAAGAATCAAAACAGTAGGTAATGTAGTCGGTCAAGATAATGTCAGGTTCCAGTTTACAAGCACAGTATTTTCATTACTGATACAACAGGAGCCCTTTTAAAATCTACTGTCATTTAAGAATGCTGACAGGAGATCTTTAGTTAGTAACTGGCCTCGAGATCCAACTAGTAAAAAAAGATTTCCTCAGTACTGGCTTCTCAAGTGTTAGGGTCTCCCTTCACTTCCCTGACCCAGTTTCTCCCTTCCTATGCATCCCATCTTTGTGTTGTCTGGAAAGCAGGATAAAATACATGCTCTGTCAATGTAATGAGTAATTTACTTTTCATGCCCTGTATTTTGACATCTGGGCTATGCATTGGGCTTTAAAAAGCCAAGGTTTCTCAATATTACACAAACAGAAACTCAAGTTATTTCAAATAAGTGTATTCATGTCTCTCATGGGTTTATTTTAAAAGTTTGTTATTAAAACTGTTTGAAACAGGGTCTGAAGGGAAAATACTCTAAATACTTAAATTCTCTAAAATCACATGGCTTTGAAAAACTTACATAAACCTTACCTCCAATGGTGTGCATTATTTGCCCATTTTTCCGGACAACCAAAATCCTGTTATGTCCAGTATCTGCTATGACCACTCTGTCTCCTGAACTATCTACTGTCACTTTTCCAGGAAACAGCAATGGAGAAGGGGGGAGAGAGTCTTTGTACAACTTTATTGCAATTTTATTATCTTTGATTTGTCCTTTTGCTTTGTAGAAACTCAGAGCTATAGATGCAAATAAAAATAATTTTTCTTTGTGTCCCTCTCCAACAAGAGAAAACAGCATATTTCCACGAGGCCCAAGTATAACCAGAGTTGGCCAGCAGGACACTTCCAGCTCATGCCAAAGTTTTCCATCTGAATCATTTACTACGGGGTGAGTAATATTATATCGAAGAACAGCACTTTTAATGTTATCCAGAACCTTTTCATTTGGGAACTTTGCTGAATGGACACCAACAATAAGAAGACCATCTGAAAGTAAAAATAAAAGAAAGTCTCGCATGAAAATATATTTGCACTCAACTAAAAGTTAAAAAAACACTGCTCTCTCTCAGAACATGACTAATAGCGTTACAAACTAAAAGAAGGTTTGAGTAAGTTAAATTAAAGGAAGGACTGTAATTCACTACGGCAAGATGCATAACCCATCTATTAATACCAAATACTACGGTTCAGAAGATTTCAGTAGTATTAAGATATTGTTTACTTTCCAAGTTGGTTGCAAATTAATACATCATAAAATGTTCTTGATTGCTGGGACCTCTGCATAGACACAAGTTACATTTTGGAGATAGTAATTATGACCATGCTGCAGTGTCTTGTTTTAGAAAACAGGATCTTCTTCTGTAAACCTGGTATTCGTAAAGACTGGGTACTAGTAAGTATAATTTAAATAATCCTTTCAATACTACCACAGAAATAAATGAAAATATATGGACTATTAAGATCATATTGCATTTCATGTGCAACCAATATTAGAAGTATTACCAAAAACTGTGGATCTGATAAGCTAGATACAATTAGTAAGGATTAATACTTAGCCATCAGGGAGTGATGCCCTTTAAGTCTTGCCCTCTTCAACTCAATCAATCAAGTGTAGAAAACAGATTTAAAAAAGCCCGCTTCCCCCCAAAGAAAGAAGGTAGGGCAGTTTGGCACCTTAGGCTGCGTTCAGATGACCGCAGATGTTTGGTTCCCTGGGGACAGGTAGCAGCGGTCTGGCTCTCCTTCTCAGCAGCTCGTGGTGCCTGTGCGTGCACTGCTCCAGTTTCTGCCCCCCACCCCCAACAGGTTTTTTGACCCCTGGATTTCCTGGACCCCTGCGGGGAAAAAAAAACCTGGAGCAAAGTATGCATGGGAAGCGTGGCCTTGGAGTTCAGGGAACACTTGACTGCTGTATGTGGCACCACAGACGTACCGCATGGCTGTGTACATCTGGATGCAGCCTTAGAAAGTAACTTGTTGACAAAGACATGAGCTGTCATGGACAACTTACAGTCCATTCCCAGTATCTAATGAAGTAAGTTGTAGCCTATGAAAGTTCATGCCTCTCTGAAACAATCAGGTCTTCAAAGGGCCATCCTTCCCCAGCTTCTGCCTGTGTTCAGACTAGCATGGCTAACCTTAACAAAAGTGAGGTTAGAGGTCTCTAAGGGTGTGCGTACTAGTATGCTGGAAGTGTGCCACAAGATCCCTGTGTGAGGAGGTAAATGTTCTCCCTCCCCTATCTGGCACCCTGTCCCTGCCCCAGCTACTCCTGTGATCACTTTTATTAAAAGTCTTGCCACCATCTTAAAACTTGAGGGACTGAGTTCATTGTAGGCATGAAAGATGCCAGGGCAGAGTCAGAGGGGGTGCAGTAGTGCAGATGCACCCCCCTCTGATTCCAGCTCCACTCACATCTACATAGTTGTACAAAACAACACATCGATTAAAACCCCCAAACTTTTATTATACTGGAAAGTCTTAGTTTAACATAATATGAATGGCAGTTGTCCAATTTCCCCTCACTTTTCTGCTCTGGAATCCCCAAAAAATCACCTGGAGTCTTTCAACATAACCATCTAAGTTTTAAATTCTCAACTGATCTTGTGTATCCTTTAGGGATAAGATGGGAGAGGCAGGAAAGGAAAAAAGAAACATCCTTACAATTCATGCATTTCCATGTTAACCTTCTTTACTAGTTAAGAACTTTTGACACTTGCAGGATTGCTAATGTACATTATGGTATTTGTTTTTCCATCACACCAATAAAATTGCCTGGCATTTATATTGCCTTTTGTGTGGTGAAAACCTAATAAAAACATCTCTTATTCTGTTTTCCACTACTGTGGTCTATAGGTGGATTCCTTGCAGTGCCTTATTATTTCAGTAACACAAGTTGCAATTACTTCAGCAACAAAAGGGAGCCAAGAAGTTAATACAGGAAACAAATGGAAAAGATATTAGTATCCAACCCTCAAATTCTTATTTCTTGGACTAGTACTATCAAAAGTTTCAAAAGAACTACTCTTTGCAGAATGGGGTTGCAGAATGTAGGTCTTAACTTACAAAAGTGTACTTGCCATTTTAAATTTGTTCAAATGTCACTTTAAAAATAATTACATACTTACAACAATAGGCAGTGCTGTACCATAGAACTAAAGCGCAAGTTTAAATATAAGCGTAAGTCATAGAATTGCAAGTCATAGTTTGTTAATCTGACATGCACATTTGCAATGTGAATCTCTGGCACAAAGCAATTAGGGTCTATAAATTTGTGCTGGCTCACCTGGACAGGTATGGTTTATGAACTTCCATCCTGAATAAACCAAGTGGGACCAGCTTTGCTGATAGGAAACTGGGGTGTCTGTCAGACAGTACCACAGAAACCCTACCACATTAACACCTCAATGTAAGAAGGCTTTGGCAGGGAATAAGTTACATTTAATTATTTTGGTAACAGACACAGTAAAAGGCTAATGGGTATTCTTATTCAAAGTAGCCTTTTGTTGCAGCAGACTGACTCCACCAGATTGCAGCAAATCTAATCAGAACAAAGCACAACTGTCTCTCTCCAATTAATTTTGAAAGCAGAAGATGAAGTCAAGAAATCTCTATTTCCTGCCCCCACTTCCAACTAGCAGTACTTTAAGGAATTTTTTCACTTTATTTTTCCCTCCTCTTCCTTGAAGCTACTGTGCTGCTTCTAGGGATCCTTTTGAAATAAGTCCCTCAAGAACGTTTTTCAGCAGATAGCATTTTGCTGTATTTTTCACATCTGAGAATTTCATCCATCTCTCTCTCTTATTTATTTATTGCCATTCTAGCATTTCAAGTTGCTTTCTTTGAGAGGGAACTGGCAAGAAGTGTGAAGTTTGCATCTTTTCAAGATAAGATACCTTTCCTTTGTGCATTTCATTCATTTGGCGCACACACAAAAGCATTCACAATCTTGAACTGCAATAGGCTCCAAAGTGGAGAAAGCATACTAATTTCAGTATGCATTATCAGATGCTTCCGGATAGCAAACTTGTTTATTAAATATTAGAAGCTTCAGCACTTACAAGAATGCAAACCAAAATGATGCAGTATCTCTGTCTATGTTCAGAACAGGGTGAGCCACGCAAAGAACCTTCCCTTACAGTAGGCAGGGTTTGTTAAGAAAGGTGCAACTGACTCATGGAGTAAAAAAATCCTCAGATGGGAACGTCCTCAGGGAGATCATGGGCAAGGAGTCAAGCTGAAGGACGTGGCTTTGGGTACAATCTGTGATGTTACTAGGTTCCCTTTAAAAAAGCTAAAGGGCAGAAGGTGAGTTTGACACTACATAGAGAGCGTGCATTATGTTTCAGTAGAGAGAAGGCTCATAGCTGAACTTGGTTCTAGCATGCCAGGATAATCTCAAGACCCATTTCTAACTGTATATACCATCATAAAACACCGCTTTAGGGAGCACAGTCAATAGGTGTTCTTAGGGCTCTCTTGGACTTGATCCTCGTTTCTTTAAAAAAGAGTTCTTAAGAAGTTCAATATCTCTACGCTGATCTTTCAGGTTTAAGCCTTCCTCTTCTCCTTCCTCTACCCCCTATAAATAAGCACAGGAAAACAGGGCACTGGCAAGGGACACTGCTACTCTGGAACACAATTACTAGCTTTTGTCCTGATGAATCTAGTCTCTCTGGTGAATTCCCTGTGATTCACCAAAATAAAAAGTGCCAATTTGAAGGACATGACAAAGGGAAAGTGTGCAGGCCTCCTTTGGTACCGGAGTGGAAACAAGCTGGGGCCACCCGCATCCATTCTGTCCTCGCTGCAGACTGCATAGCAATCCAGCATAAAGTCACAGTACATTTTTTTAAACCTCTATACAGCTGACAAATCATCAGACCACCCAAAGGCACACTAGCAACCAATGGAGCAACTCCAGGCCAAACAACTGAGTTATTAGCTTGCACACTTTCATCTTCTTTGAGTAATGGGGAAAAGTATTTTTCATTCCTGAAAATGGCTGAAATATTTTGGTTCATATTAAAGGAAAACCTGTTCAAATTTGGCAAGACAGAAAGTGTTATAAACAAGTGAACATAATCTCTTTGAATAGGAATGTTTATGCAAATCGAAAACAAATAGTATGTTGCTTCTTATGCTGCAAATAATGCAGTGGTGTTAAATCAGGTGGCGTAATAGTAAGTAATAAAACATCATATTAAGGTGGGGGAATAGCATTTACATATTCCTTTTTACACTTATGTTTAGGTTTTTTTCTCACTAAGTAACTTCTTAATGGTGAGTGGGAAGAGAAAGTTTGCTGAATTTTACCAAGTCGCTTTCAAATTTTTTAGTTTCCAACTAATTATCTCAGTTGGTTCCTAAGTCCTGTTCGTGTAATTGGATCTACACAAGCAGACCTCTTCAGTTGTATATAGCTGTGTTGAAGTCAGTGTTAGTCCATTTGGTTAGGGATCAAATCATGGACTCAGAGCCTCAGTCATCCGACTTGCCACTGAAGCTATTTCTTTCCAGTTTTCTAGTATTTGTCCAGTTTTACATAATGTCTTGAACAATAAGATTCCCTTCATTTTCCACAAGAGTTTTCTGTACTAAAAATGAAGAATTTAAGAAAAACAAAGAACATAAGAATTCTTTCAGCATAGTTTTCGTTTTATCAACTCATTACTCTGCTGTACTTACCTCCCCGTCAACTGCACATACTCTTCAAGTATTCACAGACTACAGTATTTCTCGTTAAACTTTTCAGTGCAGTGTTAAATGTTCTCAGTACTAAGCCTAGAAAATCTTTACAATTATCTTGTGCATTATTCATGCAATCAGTTCTCTTATTTTCTCAAATATAAAGTGAATCTTTCCCCAAAAATCAGCCTCCCAAAATTGGGGTGCATTTTACATGGAAAAGCCTTTTTCTTCATTGAAAAAGCAACACTCCTGGTAACAATGTGCAGGTGATGCAGCTGCCAAGATAGCTTCAATTT